GGGGGGGGGGGGGACCACATGCCCAGGATGTGTGCCCCATCTTTCTAGAAGAGACCTTCAAAGGCCCCTCAGTTTCTGAGAACCAGTGAAAAAACGGAGGACCCCCACCACCACAAGATTCAGGGAGCATTCTCACCAAACAAGGTGGCAGCTTCCGAGGCACTGAGGCTGAACTGGGACTCGAGGAACTTGGGGCCAAACGTGGACATGCCCGCGATGAGCGTGGCCTCTGTGGCCCCGGCCAGGCAGAGCAGGATGAACGTGGGGTTCTTCAGGAGGAGCCAGATGGAGCTGGATGTGGGAGAGGAATGGAGACCAGAGAGAAGAGACAGAGGGTCAGAGTGGGCCAGAGCCCTGGCCATTCCCAACTGAGCACAAAGAGCCTGGTTCTGAGAGGGGAGTGGAGTGGGGTGTGGGAGAGCCAGGGGGCACCCCACATTTACTCCAGAGAAACCGAGAGTGGGTGTGGGGCTGGGCTGGGGCAGGGGGAGAGCTGGCACCAGGATCCAGAGCCTGTGGCTTGTTGTGAAAGCCGCTGTCACAGAGGTCGGCTGCAGTGGGGAAAGAGACCCTGAGTGACTGTGACACTGTTGAATCTGCCCCAGGGGCAGCCGGGAGAACCAGCAGAGGGGCCTGAGTCAGGAGCCGGAGGCTGCGGGGGAGGCGGCTGTCTCCAAGTCCAGGACTGGGTGGCCCCCAGGAGAGGGGAATGGGGCCTGAGGGGTGGGACCACTTCTCAATCGCCAGCTGGTGAAAAGGAGGGACCGAAATCCCTGAGGGTTTGGATCTAGAGGCCCCTCCAAGGAGACACTGTGTGGGCTTGGCTGTCTCTCCGACTTCTCTTGGTGTGCACCTGGGGGGCGGTGGCCAGTGTAGTGATGCCAGGGGCCTGAGAAATGGCCCTTGGACCTGGCCTGAGAGTTCCCCCTTGAACCCAGTGCACACGGCTCTACACCCCGCCTGCCTTTCCCGGGCCCGGCCCCTCTCAGCCACCGGATGGCAGGTCCAGGACTCGTGAGTGATGTGGGCTGGGGACAGTTTTCCCTGGAGCCCTGGGTCCATCTCGGGCACCCACGAGCAGGCAAAGCCTGGTGACAAATGACTGTGTTCCGACCCCTATCACAGCGGCTCCGACAAAGGCTGCCTTTGCTCACATTCTCCGTGTCTGCAGCTAAGGCCTCCACCCGGAGAACCAGCTCCCACTGACCCTACGGGTGATCTTCCACCAGGAGGGAGACCCCCACCCGGCCAGCCGTCAATGCCGGCACCTCCCTGCGCGTGTCAGAGCAGCACAGACACCCTGACTCTCCGGTGTTCTTCGTTTTGAGGACACAGGCCAGCAGTAAACTGGATTCTGCCAAGGAGCAGACAGGGTGGCCACAGTTAGCCTTCGTGTCCTGGGAGGGAACTGATGCTAAGGAAGTCACCCCCCACCCCCAGTCCCTGCGGCTTCTCAGGGTAACTGCAGAGCGGCCTCCTTCCCCATCCTGCTTCAAGCAGGGACCCAATTCCTTCAAAACTGACTTTCAAACTCAAGGACTTGAAAAGGTTTCTTCCTGGTCAACAGCCCAAGTCCCACATCCATGAAGGAAACAAGATGCAGAGGAAATGCCATCCTGGTGGGGCTCTCTGGGAGCAGAGTGCGTGCGCGCGTGCGTGTGTGTGTGTGTGTGTGTGTGTGTTGAGGGGAAGCCCAGGTGCGGCCAGTCCCTTCCCGGTCCTGCCCAGACTCGCCCAGGCTTCAGGGATGCTCGCCTGGGCTCAGGGGCAGGTGACGCTCCCCAGAAGTATGTGAACTTCCTTATTCCTTAATCTCAGCCTCTGCAGGTTGCTTGGCTGCAACTCCCATGTTGAATTTGCTCAGAGACTAGTCATGACCTTGACAGAGGGCCCATGTTCCGGTATTTATTTCACTATCAGCAACTGGTTTGGGGAACCAAGCCTGGGCATAAACCTCCTTATCTCGGGCTTTCCCCCGGGTCCACTGGGGACCAAGCTGTTGACGCCCTCGGTGCCAGTGTTCCTGGGTGGCCCTGCCCCGGCTGGACGGGGTGAGCCTGCCTTGCCTGGGTGACCCCGCCTCCCTGGCCACTGTGGCCCTGGGCCAGCTCTGCCGGCCTTGGTGGCAGCCTCCTGAGTGGGCGGCTCTTCTCGGGGGTCTAACCAGGCAATGCGTAGCCTGGGGGGGGGTTCCCTGACCCCACGCCACCCTCCCCGTGTTAAAGACAGACGGCGGGGGCTCATTCCCGCCACTAACAGCCTCCACCTGCCACGTGGACACTCACGGGCTCAGGAAGCTGCGGGGCAGGTGGGCGCTCAGTGAGGCCGAGGACTCGGGCAGGTGACCCTCCGAGGGCCGCCTCCCCCTGGCCAGGAGAGCCCCCCATGGAATGCCCTGATGAGGGGCACTGGCCGGCCAGGAGCCCCCAGCCCCACGCTATCCCTCTGAGGCCCCAGCAGCCCAGGCTCTGTCTGTCCCAACAGTGTGTGAAGACAGCACAGTAAGACCAGGTCACGTACAAGATAAACGAGAGGTCGCTGCCCGAGAGGAGGGGCGGCCGCAGGGCAGCGAGGACGGGCAGCTGGACGGTCCCCTCCTTGGAGCCCTGTGGGCACGTGCAGGTGACTCCCAACGAAACGGTCAGAGAACAGGGTGGAGGGGTGACTCCTGGGGAATGATCTTGGGGGGAGGCGGTCAGTTGCTTTCCTGGGGACCGTGGACAAGCTGGCTGTGGGCAACTCACCGAGCATCAGGGATTCACTCCGTGACCATGAGGCATCAGGCACAGCCCACAGAGCCTGCCGTGTGGGAGCGCAGACGGGTCCCTGCGTGCGTGTCCCTGGGTCCCCCTCAGGCCCGGGAAGTGAGGGGTAGGCACCATGAGGCTGAGGCCCCGGCCCTTCCATCGCAACTGGCCCTTGGTGCCTCCAAGCCAGGAGGCTCTATCTACACCCCCTTAATCCCTTGGCCCAAGTTTTGGAGCCAGGCCCTGAAGATTGTTGGGTCAGAAGGAGGTTTAGGGGCTGTGGGCTCCCCATGTGGCCCTGGAGGGGTCACAGGACTCTCCTAGCTTAGGGTCAAGACCCAGCATGTGTAGGACCCTAAAGGGTCTTCAGGACACACAGACAGACAAGAGGTCCCCCAAGGTCCTTACAGAGGCAGGTCTCTGATGGTTTTCCCGAAGTCGGGGTTGCTGGTCATCCTGTGGCTGCTGTCCTTTAACTGGTGTGTTTCAGATGCTCTCATGACCACATAGCGCTGGGAGCCTGGAAGGATGTGAACATCTGTGAGGGGCAGAGATCAAAGGCCCCGAAGCCCCTCCTCCTGGGTGTGGGACCAGCCGGTGGACGAGGGCGCCCAGACAGACGTCCCGTACGGATGCACCACGGTGACGGGTGGCAGGGATGGTGAGGTGGGAGAGAGCCCACAGGCCCAACCTGGGACCAGAGGGAGACGGAAGGTATTGAAAGGGGCGCCCATCCCCCGGTGAAACAAGCCTCTTCGGTGGTCCCCGAGCGGGCAGAGGCCACAGGGGTGGAGGGGGCACACTGGCTGGGCTGCCCTGCCGATGGCAGCCCCCGCCCAGAGAACGACGATCCCGGCCCCACTGCTCCTGGCAGGCAGCAGGAGCAGGGCATGGGGTGTCCTTCTGCGGGACGCACCCACCTGGCAGCTGCCGCGGGTAGCCAAGGATGGGCACGGCGATGAGGAAGGCGGTAGCTCCAGTGCCCAGGAAGCCCACCCACCAGGCGCCGACCCACAGCGGGCTCTCGGTGGTCAGCTCCGTCCTGCGGGAAGAGGCACGTGGGGACAGTGTTGTGCTCACAGCGTCTAGGGCACACACGCCGGGCGTCCTGCTTGCTGGTCAGTGAGAGGCAGAGACCATAGGCTCTGCTTGAGGCCCCCACCCTGATGCCCCACCACCCCCGGTCTGGGACCAGCGGTGGACAGAGGGCATTGGGGCGGACATGGGGTGGACATGCACCAGGGGACCCTGCCCAGGCCCACCCCTTCCTCTGGGGCCTGCGAGGCTGCCTCCCGACGAGGCCATAGGGGCTGGGGGCCCAGGAGGGGCAGGGCAGAGGGTGGGTGGCAGGTGTTCTGGCCTCGTGAAGCTCAGGGGGCTTGCCTGCGACCCCCGCCTGCACACAAGTGCACCTTTAAATTCAAAGGTACGTGGGAAAGAACCCTGGGCTGGGCAGCCAGGTGGACAGGAGACAAGGGGCTGGCAGAGGCCAGCCAGCTGCCCCCGACTTGTATTCTGGGGAATAAACTGGCGACTGAGCCAGCGCTGTGCTTTCTGAGTTCTGTGAGCCATTCTAGCAAATTACTAGAAGGAGGGTTCCTGGGACCCTCCGCTTTGCAGCCAAGTTGGACAGAAGCGTGGGTAACCGGGAGCCACCACTGCAGTTGGCATCTGAAGTGTGGGTGCTCTCACTTACCTGTGGGGTCTGAGCTGACTCTGGAAGTCAGTGTCAGATTGAGGTGAACTGGGGACACCCAGCTGGTGTCCGGAGAGCACTGGAGAATTGTTTGGTGTAGACCACCCCCCCCAAAAAATAACCTCCCGGTGGTGGCAGGAAAACCCCTCTTGGTTCCTCAAAGGGCATTGGAGCAATTGCGGCCTGGTCCCTTCCAGCTTCGGGAGGCTGTCCATCCATGCTGTCCCCTCCCTCAGGCCACACTCTCCAAGCTGCCCAGACTCCCAGGTCCACCAGAGCAAGGTCGGCCTGGACCTACCCCACCCGGGCCGCCGTCCTCCTGCACCAAGAGTGGGCGTCTTCTCTGTGGGCCCAGGTCACTCACCGGTGGCCTATTTCGGTGTAAATATTCAGCAGGGCACCTCCGACCAGGTAGCCGGCTGCGGGGCCGAGGATGGCCGCGGTGTAAAAGATGGCTGGAAGGGAAGCAGAGACATCGGGGACCTGCTGCGCCCTCTGCACCACCCCTCCGGCCCACCGAAGACAAGCCCCGCTTGCATTTCTGCACCTCCACCCCTATCCCCAGCCATGAACTCCTTTAAACTGGGGTTTCCGTTGCACAGTCTCCATTGTGTCTGGTATCGGCTGGCGTCAACCTTTCAAGGTGTTTTAAAAATATTTCCCTCAGAGCCCCTATAGACACCATTTGGACTCTTTCCACCTCAAAAGAGCAAAGATCCTAAGCCTCATTTCCTAAGACTCATTTTGCAGGATGAGGGCGGCACCCATGCAGCACTGCAGGCTCACCCGGGTCCCAAATGCCCCCGGAATGGCAACCGCTACGTGACACGGATGAGCAGAGTCCAAGGTGGACATAATGGAGCAGAACAGCGGGCAAATCTGGCTGGGCCAGGGCGTCGGCCGCGAGCTCTCCACTGACCCCGACCCCTTCCCTGGGAGAGCTGACCTCGCAGGAGGGACTCGGAGAAGCGGCTGGCCTGAGGCTGAGAACACGGAAATCTCACCCCAGATAAACGAGAGGGTCTCGGGGGCAGCTCGAGGCTCGAGCCCAACCCCTAAGGGTGGCGTGGCAGCACCCAGTTCTGCAGCCCAGCCACCAGCCGAGCCCGGCTCACGGGATCTTAGTTCCCTGACCAGGGATCAAACCTGGGGCCCCTGCAGTGGCAGCGCAGAGTCCTAACCACTGGACCACGAGGGTCCGCGTGCTCCAGACCCTGTGGGATGTGCCAGGGGTCGGGCTGAGGCTGGCGAGCACCACCTCCATCACCTGAGGTGTCAGGTGAAACGCAGGCCCGTGCTGACCTGCCACCTCGCCTAGGAGCACCTGGGGCCATTTGGGGCCGCGTGTGGCCAACAGGGACACGCATGTAGGGGGCTTGGACGGGGCAGGGCTCTGAGTAGACTGCCAGCTGGTGTCACCACCATCACACCCGTCCCACTCACCGATGTAGACAGGCGAGTAGCTGGACTTGACATTCTCATCCAGGTAGGTGACGCCCAGTGTGTACAGCGGGGTGGCGCCCACGCCGTGTAGGAACTGGCCCAGCATGAAGACCAGCTGGTAGCTGGACAGGCCAGAGGCGTGGCCCCCGCAGGTCGCGCTGCGGTTGGCCCGGCATGTTCCGACGGCCTCGTCCACCTGCACCTCGTAGGGGCCAGCGGTGAAGTGGGGCAGTGAGAAGACCAGCGAGCCAGCACCCATGACCAGCACGCCCCAGCCTAGCCAGCGAGGCTTGTGGCCGTGGCCTCCAAAGTAGCCAACGAAGGTGAGGCAGAGGCAGGCGGCCACGTCGTAAGAGCTGGCGATGAGGCCACTGTGGTAGCTGTGCAGGTCGTAGCGCCGCTCAATGGATGTGATGACAGTATTGATGAAGCCGTTCACTGTCATGCCCTGCAGGAAGGAGGCCGCGCACAGGAATAGCAGGAAGCCCCGGGGTGTGTTGAAGGCCTGCAGGCACGTGGGCGCGAAGGCCCGCCAGCCGCAGGCCTCGTCCGGCCGCCCTGTCGCCACGTAGCGCACCTCCCGGGCCGCCTGGGGCCCATGCTTCTCGGGCCGCGGCTGGCACAGCGGCTGGCTCAGGGGCGAGCCAAGGGACGCCCGCCTGCTGGGGGGCGTGCAGTCACACTCGCTGTTGGTGGCCAACGGGGGGCCGGGGGAGACCAGCTGGCGCATCTC